CCCCATACCCCGTCTGGTATGAGCACCAAAATATTTAAAGTCTTCATACTCTGTCCGGTATGAGAGACAACATTTCCGGTAGGGTTCCCTATGGACCCGATTCGTCCACCATCTCCTAAGATATCTAGTGAGGTTGTCGACTTATCCACTTATCAATTCACATACATTTTCTATTCTTTTTTTAGTTTTCTGTTTCTCACATAATCATAAATATTTAAACCAGTAACTAGCATCCAACAATGTAGGCATATCATCGGATTCACAATATCAAGCCATAATGAAGTAAACAGTGATTCATGCATTCAAAACCATAGAATAAATAAATCAGATACCATAATGCATTTAAAACTGTGAAATAACTAAAACAGCGACTGATCGAAATATATCAGATCCGGGCTCCATTAGCAACCTTAATTAATTATACATATCTATTAATTCATAAAATACCGTTTTATCATTTATTAAGCTTTAATGCCATGATAGGAAATAGGGTGAGAGATCCTTACTTGATTCGAAGTCTAAAATCGGTTTTTCACTGTGCTTACGGGCAGTCCATAGATTCCTTGAATTTTTTTTTTTGGGAACTGAAACACACTTCTGGTACCTGCACATGTCCCCAAAAAACTCCAAATCAGACCCAGGGCCTCCTCAGCCAATTTCAGAACTCCGGCACGGCGACTCTGCCGTGCTCCAGCGATGCGGCGGCGATCCGCCTCTGGTTGGCTATTTTCGGCCAAATTCAGCTAAACTAGCACCAGTTCCTGTGAGGAAACACACGTGGGGCCCTTGGTGAGCCAAAAAATACAAAAAATCGAGACTTACCGATGGCGGAGCTCTCGGGTGCGGCGGCTCCTTCGGCGCGAGTCTCGATTTGGCATTTTGCTCCAGTCAGCTTGCAGAGAAAATGACGGTGGTCACAGTGGTGTAAAAATTACATCGAACGGGAATTAAGAAGAGCCTCATCAGAGGCAAAACCTAAGGAAACCTGCGACGCGCCGCTAGGATTCGGCGGTGTTTTTCAGCCAATTGGCCAGTGGTTTGGCTCCGATTTGGCCACAGGTGGGTTCAACATCGAAATTCGAGCCAAGGGAAGAAATTTTACCTCGTTTGGTGGCTGGAAAGTGCTCCGGTGCGGCGGCAGGTGACGGCGGTCAGTTCCTCCGGTGGCTGGGCTGTCTTCTTTGGCGAGGGCTCTGGCGGCTAGGGTTTGGGGTCGGGTGTTGATGAGATTATTTATAACATTCTCCTTTTAATCTAAGCCGTCTATCACGATTTAATCTGGGTCGTCCGATCGCGATTAAATTAGAAATGAATCTGGGTCGTCCATCGTGATGCGATCTGAACCGTCCGTGCGTGATGCAATCTGGACCGTCTGCACGCGTTCCATCTGGGCCGTCCTTGCATGCGGGAACAGATCTCAG